CTCCCAGTATTCAGCCACCACCAATGGACTCAAAACTAGTAAAAGCACTGGGCGGGTCAAACCCAACGCAGTGGCCAGCAGGTGCGGCCACTCCACCCGCACTGTAAATGGCTGTGCTGTCTGTCGGGCGTGTCCCTCCCTGCCCCCATCACACCCGGCCTGTGCGCCAGGCAAGCCCCACAAGGACACAAATGGACCCTTGCCGTGACCTTGGTCATGGCTCCCGCCTCATGGCACATTTCTTTTTAGGGCTCTCGACGTCCCACCAGAGGGATCCCCCTTCCTTTCGCAGCACATGTCTACTGAGTAATGCAGACGGAAACTCTTACTACCAAACGTGGCCCAGCGGCCCTGCCAAGCTGTAATATCGCGTTAGTATTAACTGGAGCTATATCTTTGCTAATCCTGGCAGGAGACAAGTCTCGCTTTGAGCGGATGAACACACTCATACGGACACAGGTTTTAGGAACAAATTTAGATCTCAAAGTCAACACTGTGATCGAACTTGAGCCAATACTGGCAAATGACGTGCCGCATCAGGAAGAGGAAGGAGCTTGGGATAAGGAGAAGTGTTAGGCGCCAATCCCAAAAGGGTCTCATGCTGAAGAAGCATTTGAATTGACAGGGACACCGAGGCCTGAATCCCAAAGGTTAAGAAAGTCCTCTCATCTGAAAACACAAAGATCTAGAAGAATCACTCGAAATTCAGCTTCTCGCGAAAGCATCTAGATTTTCACAGGGCTTGATGACCAGTAATAATAATAAACTTGCGGAAGAGTGAGCAAAGCAGGAGGGAAACACAGCGGCACCTCAGCACGAGCTTCACTCGTGCCACGATTTTGGCAAAGGTGGCCATGTTTCTGTTCCTGAAACAAGGACGGCTGCGCTCCTGCTCAGCACCTGACGCAGAGTTTGCAAATAAAACAGTGCCTTTCCATGTCCCGCGTCTCTGCATGACCTTCCGCCGCAGCCAGCCTCTCCTGGGCTCTGCTCTCTGCCCTCCCTGGACACAGACAGCACGGCGTGTGCCCGCCGGCTCTCCCGGCTCTCTGCTCACAGCACCTGGCCGTGCCAACCCCACGCTGCTACCCCTGCCCTTCTGCAGTGCGTGGCACCCTGGTGCTTCCTGTGCGCGCCATGTGAATGATGCTGCTGGTGTGACTACACACGCACTCCTGCCTGGTGTGCACCTTGGGCAGAGCTGTGGGCATGGACAGCTGCACAAGTAAAACCAGTGTTTTCTGAAGTGGTTACACCAATGTGTCTTTTTTTTTTTCCCCTGTATTTTAGGGAAGGATTTACAGAGTGTACAGGGTCTCACTGCATAGATCAGACTCGTAGTGATTCTCCTGTTTACAGCCTCCTAAGAGCCGGGATTACAGGCACCCACCACCACGCTCAGTCTGTCTTTGTCTCAGTGCGCCCCGGGGGCAGCGCTAGCACAGCAGGCCACAGGACCAAAGCCCCACCCCTGCGCCTGCTTGCAGGCGCTTTAATCTGCTGAGCTGTTTGGCCTGACCTACAAGTGTCTTTCATTTAAAATTAAGAGACCTCTTCAACCATCAATAGGTCTCCAATGAAAACCACCCCCTTCCTTCTGTCAAACTGGTATCTGAAGTCAAAATAAAGGAAACCACCTGACCCTCAGGATTCCCAAGAGGAGAGGGTCAGGCGGGCCTGCTCCCAGCCCTTACTGCCAGGGATGTCACCAGCACCAGACACTTGGCCGTGGCCTCGTGCGCTGAGCAAGCCACAACAGCACTGCTGAGCACGAGCTTTCCCACGCAAGGCCAGCTGTTCATGTTCATACATCAGGCTAAGGCCAGAGAACCACATGCTCCACAGCAGGACAAGTGTGCACAGGAAGCTCCCTGGAAAACATCCCGCAATGCTGGGCGTGCGCAGGCGGGGAGAAGCCTGCCTAGGGATGCTCCAGGCTCGTCACCCCAACCTGCGAGTGCCTCCTTCCAGGACAAGGGGAACTGGGCAGGCGCAGTTCTATCCCGCCTCTCAGGAGAGGGCCGCG